GAAGGCCCCCTGTGTTTGCTGTAGGGGTCACCTTGTACCTATTCTCCTTTACACTCCTTTTCACAGTACTGAAAATCCTGGTGGCTGTCTGTGAGTGCAGGAACTCTGGTTGTGGATTTTTCACAAGTGGTCTGTGGTGCAGAAATATTCCCCTTGCTGACACCATTCTCTGAGGTGCTGTAGTGAAGTGGTTTAGTAAAGGATGTAAGTGCATGGCACACAAATGATGGAGGCAGGAGATGCAAACAAATCTTAGATCAGCAAGCTTTTCTTTATTCTTCAGTGAAATCAATTGATGAGGCACAGAGGGCTCATTTTCTGGGTATAGAGATGGTTCCCGGGTTACAGAAGGACCCTGGGTTTTATAGTTTACAATGAGGATTAATCATTGGAGACTGAGGATGTACTGTTCAGACAGGCAGGGACCCAGTTGTGCAGGTTAAAATTTTAATTCAAGAAGGCAGTTGTAAAACGTTTGAAACTCACTGTCACTCAGAAAAGCTGACAACTCAGTGTTCACTGCTTGTCTTCCTTCCTCTGGGTCCCATTGTTACCTAGAGCTTCACTACTTGCTTTTCTCCTTCCAACACTTACCAGCAATGGAAAAGAGTAAAAATCCAGGATCCAGTATTTGTGTCCCTCTTTCAGGACCCACTGTGGTTGGGAAGGGGTAAATGTTTGCTTTTGGTGGAGATGCTGGGGATGAACCTAGGAAGGGATGAATGTTTACTTTTTCCCTCAGGGCCCATTGTTACTGGGAAAGGATGTACTGGGAGAGGATTAATGTTTGGCTAATTTCTCTCCCTTCGCCTGAGTCACACTATTCCTCCATTTTTCTTGGGAAGCTGTCTTGTAGGAATATTATTTTCTATAACCCTTCGAAGTGTCTCTAGTGGTTCACCTGGACTCTAGTTTCCATCATCTCAGGCTATGAAAGGTGGGCAATGATTCTGTTTACTAAGTCTGATACAAAGTCCTACAAGTATCCAAACAACGCCCTGTCATTTGCCAGTTGTGATCACTGTTCAGGATGTACACCTGTTAAAGCTGGTATCAGCCCCTTTCTGCCAGGTCCCCTCTGGCAATTCCCCAGTGGGTCTCTATGTCACTGGCTGTTCAGGCAGCTTCTCTCTTCTATGGCCTTGTGACCCTGAGGACTGCCCCTAGTCTTCCCATGGTGCATACCCCCAGTGAAAGTAGTCAGGGCATGGTGTGAATCTGCTTTCCTTTGTGGCCAAACCTGCTTTACTGTTGTCTCTGAGTTGAGTGAGCAAGTGGACAGGGTGAAGAGATTTTATCCTTGCCTTGTCACAGAGGATCAGCAGGGCTTGGCGCTTCCTCAGCACAGATCCTTACCAGCCTGCTCATTCACCTTGTTCATGGGGAGAGGGTGGCCGTGTGGGTTTCAGCGTTTTACCACTAGTAGTAGTCCTTCTAGAAGTTTTTTCTGGTAAGATTCCTCTTAAAGAGGTCCCACTTTAGGGGACTTTCTTCTGGCTTAATGCAGCTGTCTTGGTGTGGGGAGACTCCATGCTGATTTAAGAGGGTGACTGTTTGGCTGAGGACTCCACACGATCGTTGCAGACCCCCCACACACACCCAGCTTTCTTTTCATGATTTGGTTTTAAGCTGTTTGTGCTGTTTTAAGGAGCCTTCTGATGCCATTGCATTTCAAATTTTGTCTGTCTTTCCTACAGTTTTTAAGTGGATGAGCCAA